TCAGCCTGCAGCCTCGGCCTCAGCCTGCTTCAGCCTCAGCCTCAGTCTGCCTTCAGCCTCGGCCTCAGCCTCAGCCTGCCTCAGCCTCAGCCTGCATCAGCCTCAGCCTCAGCCTCAGCCTGCCTCAGCATCAGCCTCAGCCTCAGCCTCAGCCTCAGCCTGCCTCTGCCTCAGTCTGCTACAGCCTCAGCCTCAGCCTGCCTTCAGCCTCGGCATCAGCCTCAGCCTGCCTCAGCCTCAGCCTCAGCCTCGGCCTCAGCCTCAGCCTCAGCCTCGCCTCAGCCTGAGCCTCAGCCTCAGCCTCAGCCTCAGCACCAGCCTGCCTCAGCATCAGCCTGCCTCAGCCTCAGCCTCAGCCTCCTGCCTCAGCCTCAGCCTGCTTCAGCCTCAGTCTCAGCCCTTCAGCCTCGGCCTCAGCCTCAGCCTGCCTCAGCCTCAGCCTGCATCAGCCTCAGCCTCAGCCTCAGCCTCAGCCTGCCTTCAGCCTCAGCCTCAGTCTGCCTTCAGCCTCGGCCTCAGCTTCAGCCTGCCTCAGCCTCAGCCTGCCTCAGCCTCAGCATCAGCCTGCCTCAGCATTCAAAATGTGGCCCGGGAATGGAGTTCTGGGAACTCGAAGAACACGAAGTGGCCTACAATTGGCTCCGGGCATTCAAAATCATCCCCAGGAGTGGCGTTCTGGGAACTCGAAGACACGAAGCGGCCCACAATTGGCTCTGGGCATTCAAAATCATGCCCAGGAGTGGAGTTCTGGGAACTCGAAGACCACGAGGTGGCCTACAGTTGGCTCCGGGCATTGAAAAGCATGCCCAGGAATGGAGTTCTGGGAACTCGAAGAACACGAAGTGGCGTACAGCTGGCTCCGGGCATTCAAAATCATGCCCAGGAATGGAGTTCTGTGACCTCGAAGACCACGAAGTGTGTAACTGTTTGCATAAACCGACTTCCGCGGATTCTCCCCGGATCCTGCCCGTACCCCCCTGGGGGTTCATGATGCTTTCTTTCTTTTGGGACCATTAGAAACCTATCAGTCTTCGCTGTTAGGTAAAAACGTCTGAACCTGTGTGCCCCGAGGCGAGATCCCCCGGCAACTCGCCGCGGATGCTCGCTATGGCAGACATGAGCGACTCAACGTGAATAAAAGCATCCAGCTCCGCCTGGGGGGGGGGGCCTCGCTCCCCCCCCATCCGCACCCCCCCGATGGCCCCCGCGACGGCCGGGGGGCGCGCGCCCTCCAATGCACTGGCCAGTGCCCTGCCAGACGCCTGGCCAGTCAAGCGTGTCCAACAGGGGAGAGGGGGCGCGGCGGGTCGCCGCAGGCGCGTTCGATAGACGGGGGGTGCGTTATGATTTGTTGCCCCGTGCATCCACTCCCACGTCGACGCCCCCGTCGTGTTTTTCCGGGTGGAAAACAGAGCAGACCCACAGCTTAGGATAATGTTGAAGCGAAGGAACCACTGTCAAATGCCTTTCGTACGTTCGACCAGTGGAAATAATTGCCTCACTTCAGACGTCGACGACTCAATGGGAAACAAAAGCAATCGCTGCAGGGCCGCAATGGCGGCGGCGCGACATCGCCCAGCGGGCCCACTCTCCTTGAGATTTTCCAAACGTTGAATCGCGATTTGGATTTGTTGCCAGCGTGGAAGTCCCCAAGGTCGACCTCGTGGAAACGATCAAACATCGAACGCGATAAAGTGAATGCAGAAGATTCGCCATGAGCCCTGACAGCTGCCCGCGCATCTGCGTCGCGATCTACTCTGGAACGGCCTGGTTTTGCGATGCCCGGCCCCTTAATTTCGATATGGCTGCTCAGTGGGTCCCAACTAATACTTGGAGCCAGACGCGCAGCATGCGCTATACTTGAATTCGTTCCTCTAAACTCTTGGGAGTTAGTTCTCCGAGCCGCGCGCGTCTCGAATGCAATGCCGCATCGTCGGGCCGAGGCCCGAGTGAGGCGCGCGCCCCAGGGCGCCCCTGAACAAGTAGACGAACTGCATAGCTGCGATGCCGCCCACCTCCTCTGGCGGGTGCTCGATCGCGAACGTTGCCAAAACCGCCTGGCCTCGCGGGCGCGTCTTGCGACGCGCCGGGCGGGGCGGGGGGGGGGGGGGGGCGTGCGATCTGAGAAGATGAGAATAGGAGGGGAATTTAGCCCGCGCCCGTTCGGACCCCACCAGCGGGCGCCCATGCAAGGGCGCAAGAAGGCACGGCATTGATCAAATCTTATAAATAATCTGGCGTTCGTAATCGGACCTGAACCCCAGCGCGAGAATGGCGGCAGCAACTGTCCGCGAAGCTTGGTCGCAGTCGTCTGATACACCTTGGACTTCGACAGTGTTGAGAACATCGCCCTAGACATTGTTGATCTCGCTATGGTCCAATGCGTCGCCCCGCCCAGCTGATATTTCACGCGCCTTCCAACGAGCCAGCTGATGCATGAGGGGCTCAAACTTAGCGCCTGCCTTCCGGAGCCATTGACGTAGATGCACTGATGAGGCCCTCGACCTATGAGCGAAACATAATTTGCGCCAGAAGCCGACATTGTCCATTCCAGCGCATGCTTCTCGAATCCATCGTTGGCCCCGCACAGAGCGCCCCTCGCCGCCCTTGTCCACCTCCGCCCCCAGCGGGACTACAGCCTGATCGCGTTTATTGGATGGCCGCGTGCTCTCAGGAGCGCAATCTTGAATGCCTATGTTATCTCTTGCTGCGTGCAACTTAACACTGGCAGCCCCGCTGCAGAATCCCCCCCCACCCCCCCCCGCCACCACCCCCCGCCCCCAGCGGCCCAGAGCTCGGCTTCTGGGGGACCTTCGAAGCTACATCATCCGCACGTTGCCGCCCATAAATGCGAGCACGCGTCTTGCGGAGTTTGACGGGGTTCGCGGCGGCAGACCAGCGCCAAGCTCCGGCACGCTTGAGGCTGGTCTTGACCATGATGTGCATGATGTGTTCCAGGCACCAAGTGTGAGTGATCGGCGCGGTCAGACAATTGCGCGTTTCGTCGTCGATCACGCCTTTGAAGCGCGCTATCTGATCCGGACGCCCACCGGACGTGAACAACCAAACAGTCAGATGAAGGTGATAGTTCTTGGCGGGTTCGGTCCAGTCTTCGTCGCAGCTGGCAGGAAAACAATATTAATTCCACGTTGTGATTTTCACGCGCTGCAGCTGCTTCAAGTATATCAACCTCGCTGCGATGGCCGCCAGACCTGCTGTCTCCTTCGGCACCCGCTGGACCTCTGGAAACACTGCTATAACGGCCTTCTTCGGAGGATCAAATCGAGGGCCGATTCCGTAGACGTCGTCGCCGTCGGGTGGAGGAAGATGCGCGTCCAAGTGGTGCAGAGAAGCAACCCGAACGACGTGTGCTTTGCTGCCCTTGACCGTCGTGTTGGTAGCATCGCCAACGATTGAACGAATACCCCAGGTGACGCTCTTGGACTCCAGCTGGCTCGCCGCAGTGAACCTCGCCACATATTTGATAAATCTGTTGGCAGCTTCATGACAAAACCGAGCTTCTACCATAACCGGCGATGCAAATGTTCGTTCCCGCCGGGCAACCGTAGTTCGATCAAAGCCCACCTCAAAGCCAACATACTGCAGTGACCTAAGTTTCGTTTGAGTGCAATGCGGTATCGTCCGACAGTGCTGATTCTGCCTCTGGCACCGCCCCCGCGACGCATTGCAGCACGAGCTTTCACCGATCTGGTGAATGTAAATTCCTTCTCGGACGTGCGCTTCTGTTGTGATGCGGTTTCCCTGGTTGCGAGGCACATCGACCTCCACTATTCAAGTTTTTCTTTAGATTCTTGTTGTCGCGGTGCAGCGATGTGACTGCGGGTGCCGCGCGCAGCCCTCTTCGTGTAGGCGGTGGGGCTGCTGGCGCGGCACCTGCGGCAACACGTGCGGCAACACCTGCGGCAACATGATGCGCAGGTTTTGGCGCCGCGCGCTGTAACAATGACCTGGCGCATGCCGCGTCGATAGCTTCCCAAAGCCCCTGAGACGGCAAACCGCGCACAGCGCCACCCAATATATCTCTGAAGCCGGCGATGGTCAAGACGTGGTGGTTTCGACTGGTTGTCTCTCGTTGGATGTTGCGCGTGAGTCCTTGAATCCTCAAGGTATCTCAAATTCCACAGCACACGATGGCAAGCAGAGCGTCCTTCAACGAACTTGGTGAAAAAAACAACAACGCGGCCATGCAAAAGGAACGTGATCGTCACTACGAATGTGAGCGCAAAAGGGCACAGCACGTGATATTGCGTTGTGCGAGAATCCGTCGTGCACGAAACATACTCGAAGCCAAATGCTTCCGATCGCACACAAAACTGCTTAAAAAACCTACTGATTGTGCTTTCTATTCTTCGGGATCGGCGTGAGCACACATGTTCGATTGTAGGGCTCGGAATAAACACTTCTCGTTTTGTCACCGGTATTGTTTCCACGAAGAAAATGTAATGAGATTCCCATCGCGCCCGAATGGTATGTTATGACAAAACCATTGCGGCTGCAATACCATCTTCCAGAAACTGAAACATCGGAACCTATGTACATCAGAAAACAAGTTTCGGTTTCGGAGCCACTGCAAATCACCGCAACGCTGAAAAATAACATCGCCCCAACACGTTGTGAATATCATTCCCAAACATATTTCTCAATAATTTAGGGGTATTCTGAAGAAGCCTTCTCGTGGGGAGATGACCTCCGTGGGGACACCACTTCTGTTTTCCGAAATCCCAAGAGGCCCATTCGGGCCGAAGCATCCCAGCCCGTCTGCACGTTATCAGGCGAGAGGCACCCCATAGCAAAACCGCACGCTCCTGGGCGGGGTGGGATTTGAGGCCTCAATAGGCGATCGATGGGCGATTTGAGGCCGATGCATGCCCCCCCTGCCTATCCCCCTAACGTTGCCCCGGAGTATACCCCACCCGCCAACGCCGAAACATGATCGTGGCGACATGGGGGGCGGGGGTCATGCTTCGGACCCGGACTGCCGCATCCGCCCTGGTTGCGGATGGTAGCGCCGAGACTCCCGAAGCCCGGCGTGACCACGGAGAACTCCTTTCGGGGGCGCGCTGTCGCGCTTGGGTTGGGATGGACGAGCTCGGGGAACGATGTGGCGAAAAGGGCGGGTGGGTGAGAGGGGCTCGAAGTACACACCAAGTCCCAAATCCGTCTGATCGGCCAAGGAGCTCGGTGTATAGACGACCCAGCTTCCAAACCTGCGGGACGCTGGGCCGTCTATACACCGAATTCGTTCGCCGAACTCTTTGGCTCCTTGGCCCATCAGGTCACGTGATATATACATCGAGCCTCTCCGAGGGACGAATCAGCTGCATGTAACTACTTGCTCCAGCGTTGGGAGCAGCCGCGGGTTGCCATGCCTGGAGAGCATAGTGGCAGCAGGGCCAAAACGCAAACCAGCTGCACGCAGCAATGTTTCGTACCTCCTACCCCTTGTCCACCCTCCTTTCGTCCACCCTGACACCCAGAGTGGGGCGAGGGGGGCGGCCTTCTGATAAGGCAGGACGGGGGATCATCTCGGAAGGGACCGGCAGGCACCAGCGCATTCTGAGATGCCGATGCCTCTGCGAAGGCCTCTTTGACTTCCCAGACCTCCAGCGTCGTGCTTGTTTCAACCCGCGGGCCCCAGCGCTTTGGGGACAACTTTCCAGTGCTGGCTGTTTCTGAGCGACCCCAAGCGCCAAACGCCCTCAAGAAGCAAACCATATGACTGGTTCCCGAAACTCTGAACCAAATTTGCTGGTGGCATTTCTTAGGTGGCCACCCTGTGCGTGCTTGTGCAAGCTTCCGCCAGCCTTCCGCCTTATGCGGGGACAGAGGCTGCCTCGTTCTACCTCCGCCTCCTTCCACCGAAGAAAATCTGCCAAATAATCCGGCCCGCGAAGGCGAGGCCAATCTCTGGAGCGCCCCGTGCGCCAAAACTGTGGCACTGAAGGAATCACAATGTCGGAGGTCTGGGAAGACGGCAAGGGGGCCCGCAAGCGGCGAGGAGCCTCCTCAGATGGCCGCCCTCCCGCCATGTGCCCCCTCCGTGCGAGGCGCCTGTCCTTGGGGTGCGACCACTCGCGCCACGAAGCCGAGGGCGTGTCCTCTGGACACTGGACATGAAGGTGAGGAGGGCAACGGCGATTTGGACGCCTCCGAAATGGGCACGGAAAGAGTAGGCACGATGCTTCACAGCGACTGTTGTCCCAAACCGGCAGCGAACTTTTTCTGGCAGGCGACTATGTGTCTCATGCGGGCCATGTCCGCGGCGACACCGAGGGCGAGTCCTGTTCAATAATATGAACAGAAACTGCTGTCGGTATTCGTCCCCGATCTTTCCGTACCCACTCCGATCGTGCAGAAGCGAAGAGGCCGGACGGAGGACCAACCAGATTCCAGCGTCGAGGAAGAATCACGACAGGCTCCCTCGCCCCGATGCTAAGCCCTAACGGCCTTCCCCACTCGGTCCAGCCCGCGAGTTGCCCCAGAAAGCTTGGGTCAAGGTCTCTGGTCGTGGATTTTGTGAAATCGTTCTGTTACTGCGGCGTGGAATATCAAGCATCGGGGGAGGACGGAGCAAGAAGTGCGGCCTCGATTTGGAGAGTGGAAGAGGGAGGGAGTGATGTGCGAGAGGGAGGGAGGACCCCGTGGTTGGACCCTCGGGGCGTCCACCCAGCTGTGAGGGCCCTGGGAGATCCGGAAAGCGGGCGAACGAACGACCACCAATTCGGACCAGCATCGGTGTCCACTGGAGACCAGGTGAGCGCGGCTGCAGCCTCCATATGCTGTAGTGTATGTGTGTGCGCGTGTGTTAAGGCATGCATGCCAAGAGGAGGGTGAGAAGGAGGAGGGCGAGGACGACCGGGAGGGAGAAAGGAAGGGCTCGAGGGAGTGTCCTGCAGGTCCTTGGAGCTCGGTGACCTGTAGCTGCCCTTCCAGCCCAGCACGGCCATGCGCTCTTCGTGGGTGAAGTCGGAGAACTGCGTGATCCCGACGACCCATGACCTCCGCAGGAATCGACAAACATTTTCGTCTCAAGCATCCGACGGCTCGAACATCTAGATGGAAGTTTGGTATCAATTTGCCACCTCTAGAGGCCGATTTCCTAGCTCCAGGGCCGTCAAATAGTAACTCAGGTTGATATTCTGGCCCTGAGGAAGAGGTCGAACAGGGATGTCTGTGAGATCGCCTGCGCTTCTGATCGAAGACGCATCTAGGATGTTTCTTAGCGCGGAACTCTGGTGCACCTCCAGGGTCGAGCGCCTGGGAGCGCCTGGGAGCGCTTGGGAGCGCCTGGGAGCGCCTGGGAGCGCCTGGTAGCGCTTGGGAGCGCCTGGGAACGCCCGGGAGCGCCTGGAAGCGCCTGGGAACGCTTGGGAGCGCCTGGGAGCGCCCGGGAGCGCTTGCGAGCGCTTGGGAACATTCGGCGCGCCTGGGAGCGCACGGGGGCGCTTGGGAGCGCTTGGGAGCGCTTGGGGACGCCTGGGTGCACTTGGGAGCGCTTGGGAGCGCCTGGGAGCGCTTGGGAACGCCTGGGAGCGCCTGGGAGCGCCTGGGAGCGCCTGGGAACGCCCGGGAGCGCTTGGGAGCGCCTGGGAGCACCTGGGAGCGCCTGGGAAGCGCCTGGGAGCGCCTGGGAGCTCCTGGGAGCGCCGGGGAGCGCCTGGGAGCGCCGGGGAGCGCTTGGGAGCGCCGGGGAGCGCCGGGGAGCGCCGGGGAGCGCCGCCGGGGAGTGCTGGGGAGCGCCGGGGAGCGCCCGGGGAGCGCCTGGGAAGCGCCTGGAGAGCGCTTGGAGAGCGCGTGGAAGTTCCCTGGAACGGCCAGGGAGCGCTTGCGAGCGCTTGGGAGCGCCTGGGAACGCCTGGCAGCGCCTGGTAGCGCCTGGGAGCGCCTGGGAGCGCCGGGGAACGCCTGGGAGCGCCGGAGAGCGCCGGGGAGCCTGGGAGCGCTTCATCGGCCCCCGCTGGCCCCTGGAACGAACACACACGAATCAAGGAAAAACTTAGTCTGTCCACGAAGGTGCGATGAAACAAAACAATGAAACCAACCATTAGACGAGAACGGAACGAAAACGAACACGGAATCAAACGAGAACAGCGTTTTTGGTGGATCTCTGTTGCCTCATCGGGGCGTCGAGGAAGGCCAGCGCCGCCCTCTTAGACTCGTTGAAGGCTTTCTCCCTCAAGGCCCACTCCTCAGAGGGGGAACGTTGGGAGGTACTTGCTCCGAGAAGGAACATCGAGCTGGAATCGGCGATACATCGCTGATAGATCTTCGATAGGCCCCCGGTAGCGAATCCACAAGTTCCTGGGCGGGGTGGGCTACTATCGGCGACTCATGTGCGATGGGGGGTCGATGCGTCCCCCACTGAGCCTGTCCCCCCCTGAACTCCTCTGTGCCGGCGGAATACGCGCGATCGTACTTCCTCACGAAGTCTACGAACGTCGTCGCCTTCACGGTCTCGGTGTGCGCGACGTAGAAGCCCCTGTCGAGCGCCGACCCGTGCCCGCGCGACACGTGAAGTGCTGCGGCCGGCGCCTGCGAAAACATCGGGTAGAAAAAGAAGGGACGGGGCAAGGGGGTGGGAGGTCTCCCGGAGACCTCCTCTTCCCCTGCGTGAGGCCAGGAAAGCTGGTAAGGGGGCGGGGAGGCCTCCAGGAGGTCTCCCAGAGAGGGGGGGAAGGTTTCCCAGAGGCCTCCCGTCTAGAGGAGGCGAACTCCTGGAGACCTCCTGTTCCGCCACCCTCGTGGTGAGGAGGTGGAGGGTGGACGGGAAGGATGGGGCGGAGCGGCCATGGGGCGGAGGTGAGGGAAAGAGAGGGGGAGGGAAAGAGGGAGCCTGCAAGCTTGCGGCGGCCAGCAGGATACGAAGAGCCATCATCTCACCGACCGGGGCACGAGTAAACGTTAAGGTAGGGCCCCGACGGTCCGCCTGGGAACGCAGGCGACCTCCGACGGGGCAGGCGGTGTGAGATCTGCTCGAGCCAAGCCCGCCCGAGTCCGGGCGGCTGGCCGCAGAAGGGGAGGAGGACGGCGAGGATGAGGAGCGGCAGCAGAAGCAGCAGAGGAGAAGAAGGATGATGATGATGATGATGATGATGATGATGATGATGATGATGATGATGATGATGATGATGATGATGATGATGATGAGGATGAGGAGGAGGAGGAGGAGGAGGAGGAAGGGGAAGGGATACGAGGAGGGAGCGACGAGGGCGAGGGTTACGATGGGTAGCTGCAGACGTAGGCTAACAGCAGTATAATACAAACGCAACAGTGGATATAACAGAAAGGCAAGGTGGAGGAAAGAGGAGGGAGGAGGGAGGAGGGAGGATGGGGGAGGAGAAATGGGGAGTGAGGAGCAGAAGGAAGTTGACGCATAGAGGAGCGGCGCATCGCACATGGCAAGATGTCGGTCGCGCGCTCTCCCGACCCCTCTTCCTCGCCCTCCTGTTCTCCTCTTCCCCCCCCTCTGACTTCCCCCAAACGTGTTCAAAAAAACCTTGTTTTCAACGGTTGCTTCCGACGTGTTCCGCCTACCGACCGCCAGCTTCCGCCGGCGGAGCTGCACCCGTGCTGCGTTCAATGGCTTCCGCCGCCAGCCTTCCCCCGGCCTCCGCCGAGACATCAACTTTGCGACCCCACGGTGGCATGACCCTTTTGGAGCGTCCTGCATGACCCGACAGAAGAAAAGGCGCACGACCACAGGGGGAGTGCTGGACTCTCTGATGAGTGAGGGGTGCCGCCGACGTGCGGGTTGTCTCGAAAAAGTTGTGTTCAGTGCTTCCCCTGCGTTTTGTTTGAAGAGGGGGCGGGAGAAGAAAAATGAGGCCACGAAGTACAACATATAGTCGCATGCGCTACCACCGCGAATGTGCCAGCAGAAGCTTACCAAACAACCGCCCCTGAGCCGCCCTCTGGCACTCCTCTACATGGTGGTGATCGTCCCTCCTACGACTCTCGAGTGCGTCAGTGCCCCCCTGTTTGTGGACAGGAATGTGCTCTGGAAGCCGAGAGCGCGAGGAACTCCTGCGCAGAATCCGAGCTCCAAAACAACCAAGACAGACCAATACACCTGTTGCCGCGAGGCACGGCGTTCCCCCGATCATGAAGTGCACACTAAACCCAGACACCTAACTTCGCGCTACGCGCGGAGCGCGCACATCTTCGCGCTCTCGCGCCGCTCCCTACAGAAGAATAACACCCCAGCCGAGACCCCCAAACGCGTTCTTTTACCTGATAGCATCCCGCCGGCACTCACCCAGCACGCGCGGACGCCGCAGGATTCCTGTCCACCTGCTCCTTCCTCATCTTCGACCCACGGTGACATGACCCTGCGGGTGCCGACGTGCGGGTTGTCTCGCAAAGTCCGGCGAAGGCGACAGACTTTGCGAGATGAATAGGGCCGCAATTTCACTATATGTTGAGCCATTGGCTGCGCCGTCGGGTATGCGATAGGTTGCTGGAACTTCACAGCATAGATGCACCATAGGTTGCGCTATTACTTACACCGTAGGTTGCGCCATGAAGGGCGTAATAGGTGCACTAAGTCTTAAAGTGGCTGGCACTCGAGCGCCAACACAATAGCCAATGAGGCATGCTTCCGGCGCTACGGCGAGATTACCGGTCCCAATGAGGAGTGTCAAACGCACTGTCACCAGTCAGGATTGTGGCTAGCGTTCGGGAGGCAATACCATATCCAATTGGGATGTGGCCAGCGCTGATGCCAGAGGCGCGCGCAATCCTTGACAGGAATGTGCCCAGCGGCGAAACACCCTTCCCGATCAGAGATGTGGCTAGCGCACGAGCGGCAGCACCATAGAAAACTATGGATGTGGCCAGCGGCGAGGCGAGAGTACCGTTCCCAGTGAAGGACGCGGCCAGCGAGCAAGCGACAGCAGCAGTCCCAGGCAGGGATGAGGCTGGCGTTCGAGCGAGAACACCCTTCCCAATCATGGATCTCGCTGGAGCTCGAGCGGCAGCGGTATAGCCGACTAGGCATGGGGCCAGCGCTGAGGCGAGAGCACCGTTGCCAATGAGGGATGTGGCCAGCGCTCGGGTGAGCGCCCCTTCCCGAATCAGTGATATGGCCAGCGCTCAACCTGCAGCAACGGGATGTGGCCAGCGCTGTGGCGAGAGTACTAGTACCGTTCCAGGGCGCAGGCGACAGCACCAATCCAAGACAGGGATGTGGCCAACGCTCGGAGGGCAACCCTCCCAATCAGATGTGGCCAGCGTTCTAGCCGCAACACCATAGAAAACTATGCATGTGGCCAGCACTGAGGCGAGAGCACCACTCACAATGAGGGCTGTGGCCAGCGCGCAGGCAGCAGCACCAGTCCCAGACATGGATGTGGCCAGCGCTCGGGCGAGGGCATCACTCCCAATCAGGGATGTGGCTGGCGCTGGTGGCAGCACTATGGCCAATTCGGGATGTGGCCAGCGCTGTGGCGAGGGTTCCGTTCCCAAGGAGAGACGAGGCCAGCGCGCAGGCGACAGCGCCAATCCCAAACATGGGTTGTGCCAACGCTCGGGCGAGGGCCCCGCCAGGGATGTGGCTGGCGCTCGAACGGCAGCACGATAGCCACATTGAGATGTGGCCAGCGTTCCCGATAAGGGATGTGGCCAGCACGCAGGCTGCAGCACCAGTCCCAGATAGGGATGTGGCAAACGCTCGGGCGAGAGCACCATTCACAATCAGGGATGTGGCTGTCGCTCGAGTGGCAGCGTCATCGCCAAGTAAGGATGTGGCTGGCGCTGAGGCGAGAGTGTTGTTCCCACTGAGGGATGTGGCCAACGCGCAGGCCACAGCACCGATCCCGGAGAGGGATGTGGCCGCGATCCTGCTTGGGGCCCTGTCTCCTCCTCCTCCTCCTCCTCCTCCTCCTACTCCTCCTCTTCCTCCTTTTTTTCCCTCCTCCTCCTCGTCCTCCTCCGTTTCCTCCTCCGTTTCCTCCTCCGTTTCCTCCTCCTCCTCGTCCTTCTCCACTCTTTTGCCCCCCTTCCACCCCCCCCCGTCCTCGTTTCCTTCCCCTCCTCCTCCTCCTCCTCCTCCTCATTATTATCCTCCTTTTTCGCTCCTTGACAACGGCAGCCCGGTCAGAAGATTCCACATGAAACCCACACAACGTTTACATAAGGCCTGGCGCGGCCCGACACCCTCTGGCCCGGCCCGGCCCGGCACCGTGCGAAACTCCGGAAGGCGAAGGGAGGAAGATGTAAGGGTAGACGGGCGAGGCCGCGACCTATATAAATACTGCTGCGTTTGGGAAACATTCGCATCTGCTGCGAAACATTGCTTTGCATACGTGAGATACTAAATTGGAAAAAAGGTCAGGAATCCTTGTGATCGGCGCGTCCTCCTGGGTGGGTAGTACTGTGCAAATGCGTGAATGTGATCGTTGGTGATCTGTGCTTTGCTTTGGCCGGCGTTGACCAAATGGTGGCGTCTTCAGTAGATTGAATCCATGTGGTGTCCTTTGGCTGTCGTTTTGTGCTGGTTGGTACAAACTGTGGGTGTCGGGTGTCCGTCTGGTTTGCGCTGCCGAAACAAGGTGTTGGTGTCGTCCTGCCACAGTTCGTGCTGGCCCCAATGTTGTAGTCCGCGTTGCCGTTGGTTGGCATGTGGCCTCCTTCACAGCGCACGCCATGCCAAATTGTTGCGCTTGTGGTCCATGCGCCACGGCCTTCGTTTGCAAACCGCCTCCCGACTTCCGATGCTGTGGTGTGTCATAAACTGCTATGCGCGCCGTGTGGCGCGCAGGATGTAGTCGACCCACAGCTCCATCGTGTCCTCCTCGTCATCGTGATGGCCGTCGCTCTCGCTGTGGCGATCAGCCGTCTCGGTTGCGCCGCGGAAAGCGCTGTTGTCCACGCTGTTACTGCTATCCTTTGCGTTGGGGTCGATGTCAAGAATTTCGGCGGTCGTGCCGCGATCCCTGATGCATCGCCTGTTGCGCGGGCCTGCTCGGTGGATGGCGCATCGCATCGGAGATTTGGGAACCGCGCGAGGATGCGCCCGTCTTGCCCAGGATGATGTCGTCGTCCTTGTGAGGGGGCCGGCGGTTGGCCATTGAGCTGAGGCGCCCACTAATGCCACCCTGTCTCTATCACACTCTCGGCGATCGTCTTGGTGATCCGGGCGACAGCGTCATTGAAAGAGAAACTGGACATCGGTGATCCTGGCCTTGCTCCTGCGCGTGACTGCGCCTCTCTTGTGGGCCCCGGGTTGCGGCCCAGCGCTCGGCGCGTGCATCGCGGAGTAGAGCTGCTATGCGCCCGCGTTCGATGTTGGCGTCGATGTTGGGAGCCCCTTGAATGGCGCGTGCTAGCGTGAGTTGCGCGGCTGGAGGTTCGCCCATCGTGTCGAAGAGCTCCTTTAGGCCATGCTCGCCCGTCGGCGGCCCGCAGGGGAACTCGAGGGCGACGACGCGGGAGGCGCCCTCCAACTCCACGAAAACAAGCACCCCGCTGCCCCTCGCCACTTGAACATGTCGACGTGAATGAGGGTGGCGCGCGTTACGAAGTCAACGATCTTGCGCGGCCGTGCTCCTCGAACTAGAGTTGCCGCGACCCAGCGAGCTTGAGCCGTGAGAACCCGCGGTGGTGCTTTGTGATGGCGCCGTTAGGTGCGGGCATGCGTCGGTTGGCGCTGGCCACCGACCGTCGTGGGAAAACAGCTCCACCGTGGATAGGCGGGCTCCAACTAGTAGTGAGCGGTAGCCTGGCCATGCGCATGCTGCCCTTTCGGTGCATGTCGTCGGCGAGGTCTGGTCCGCCTTGTACGTTTGGACTGGCGGTCTGCATTTGGCCCTGGAGCTCGCTCTCGCTGGTTGCGTTATTGATCGGGGTGTCTTGACAGTCTTGGTCTCGCATTGATTCCTCGGCGTTCCTGTCGCAGCCGGCTGCGGTCTCCCAGGCCGTCAAGCGAGGGCGCGGTCAGCGGCGGCAAAGTGGTCGAGCTCGGCTTCCGCCTGTACCTCTTCGCTGGTGGTCGGCTCTCCGTTGGCGTCGACGGTGAGCCTGTGCTCGGTCGGTGATCATCCTGGGGGTCTTCTCC